ACACCTGGGCACACACCTGGGCATGGGGGGCAGCCACCTGCCCGACCTGACCGTCATCACACCTGTGAGTGCACACCTGGGCACCTGGGGGCACCTGGGGGCACCTGGGCACACACCTGGGCACACACCTGGGCACACACCTGGGCACACACCTGGGCATGGGGGGCAGCCACCTGCCCAACCTGACCGTCATCACACCTGTGAGTGCACCTGGGCGCAGCTGGGGCACCTGGGCACACCTGGGCACACACCTGGGCACACCTGGGCACACCTGGGCACACACCTGGGCACACACCTGGGCACACACCTGGGCACATACCTGGGCTCACCTGGGCACACCTGGGCACACACCTGGGCACACACCTGAGCACGGGGGAGCCACCTGCCCGACCTGACCGTCATCACACCTGTGAGTGGCACACCTGGGTACCTGGGGGCACCTGGGCACACACCTGGGCACACACCTGGGCATGGGGGGCAGCCACCTGCCCGACCTGACCGTCATCACACCTGTGAGTGCACCTGGGCGCACCTGGGGCACCTGGGCACACCTGGGCACACACCTGAGCACACCTGGGCACACCTGGGCACATCTGTGCCCCCCTCAGGTGTCCTGGCTGGGTGTCACCAGCCCCCTCAGTGTCACCTGTCCCAGCTGTCCTATCCAGGTGTCTAACCCCAGTCTCACCTGTCTCAGGTGTCTGAACCCTCAATGTCACCTGTCCCAGTCCCTAACCCCCCTGTCTCACCTGTGCAGGTGTTCTGGCCGGGCCAGCCCCGCCCCGTGTCACCTGTCCCAGGTGTCNAATGTCACCTGTCCCAGTCCCTAACCCCCCTGTCTCACCTGTGCAGGTGTTCTGGCCGGGCCAGCCCCGCCCCGTGTCACCTGTCCCAGGTGTCTGACCCCTCAGTGTCCCCTGTCCCAGTCCCTAACCCCCCTGTCTCACCTGTGCAGGTGTTCTGGCCGGGCCAGCCCCGCCCCGTGTCACCTGTCCAGGTGTCTAACCCCAATGTCACCTGTCCCAGTCCCTAACCCCCCTGTCTCACCTGTCCCAGGTGTCTGACCCCAGTGTCACCTGTCCCAGGTGTCTAACCCCTCAATGTCACCTGTCCCAGTCCCTAAATCCCCAATGTCACCTGTCCCAGGTGTTCTGGCCGGGCCAGCCCTGCCCCGTGTCACCTGTCCCAGTCCCTAACCCCTCAGTGTCCCCTGTCCCAGTCCCTAAATCCCCAATGTCACCTGTCCCAGTCCCTAACCCCCCTGTCTCACCTGTGCAGGTGTTCTGGCCGGGCCAGCCGCGCCCCGTGTCACCTGTCCCAGTCCCTAACCCCTCAGTGTCACCTGTCCCAGGTGTCTGACCCCCCCGTCTCACCTGTGCAGGTGTTCTGGCCGGGCCAGCCCCGCCCCGTGTCACCTGTCCAGGTGTCTAACCCCAATGTCACCTGTCCCAGTCCCTAAGCCCCCTGTCTCACCTGTGCAGGTGTTCTGGCCGGGCAAGCCCTGCCCCATGTCACCTGTCCAGGTGTCTGACCCCAATGTCACCTGTCCCAGGTGTCTGACCCCCCCGTCTCACCTGTCCCAGGTGTTCTGGCCGGGCCAGCCGCGCCCCGTGTCACCTGTCCCAGTCCCTAACCCCCCCGTCTCACCTGTCCCAGGTGTTCTGGCCGGGCCAGCCGCGCCCCGTGTCACCTGTCCAGGTGTCTAACCCCAATGTCACCTGTCCCAGTCCCTAAATCCCCAATGTCACCTGTCCCAGGTGTCTAACCCCTCAATGTCACCTGTCCCAGGTGTTCTGGCCGGGCCAGCCCCGCCCCGTGTCACCTGTCCCAGGTGTCTGACCCCCCCGTCTCACCTGTCCCAGGTGTTCTGGCCGGGCCAGCCCCGCCCCGTGTTCTTCGTGGCCAGCCGTGGCCACCACGCCGACGTCGGGGGCTGCAGCCCCGGCTCGATGCCGCCGCACTCGCAGAGCCTGGCCCAGGAGGGGGCCACCTTCGTGTCCTTCAAACTGGTCACCGGGGGCCAGTTCCAGGAGCAGGGTGGGACATGGGGACACTGGGGACACTGGGGACACTGGGGACACTGGGGACATTGGGGACATGGGGGACATTGGGGACATCCCTGGGGATTGGGGACATTGGGGGGCCACCTTCGTGTCCTTCAAACTGGTCACCAACGGCCAGTTCCAGGAGCAGGGTGGGACACTGAGGGGACACTGGGGACACTGGGGACACTGGGGACATCGGGGGGCCACCTTCGTGTCCTTCAAACTGGTCACCGGGGGGCAGTTCCAGGAGCAGGGTGGGACACTGAGGGGACACTGGGGACATTGGGGACATTGGGGAATACGTGGTGGCTGGGGTGGGGGGCACGATGTGGGACAGTGGGGACAAGGTGGGGACACTGGAGATGGAGCAGGGACACAGTGCTGGCCTTGGGTGGGACCCGGGAGGGGACTTGGGGTGTTCCTGTCCCTGTCCCTGTCCCTGTCCCCTCACTGTCCCCTCGCTGTCCCCTCGCTGTCCCCAGAGGTGACCGAGGCCCTGCTGGCACCCGGCACCGTGCCCGGGGTGACATTGTCATTGTCATTGTCACTGTCATTGTCCCTGTCACTGTCCCTGTCCCCAGCGGTGACCGAGGCCCTGCTGGCCCCTGGCACCGTGCCTGGGGTGACATTGTCCCCAGGGGTGTCCCTGTCCCCAAGGGTGACATTGTCATTGTCATTGTCCCCAGCGGTGACCGAGGCCCTGCTGGCCCCTGGCACCGTGCCTGGGGGTGTCCCTGTCCCCACGGGTGACATTGTCATTGTCCCCAGCGGTGACCGAGGCCCTGCTGGCACCCGGCGCCGTGCCCGGGGTGACATTGTCATTGTCACTGTCATTGTCATTGTCCCTGTCATTGTCCCCAGCGGTGACCGAGGCCCTGCTGGCCCCTGGCACCGTGCCTGGGGGTGTCATTGTCCCCACGGGTGACATTGTCATTGTCCCCAGCGGTGACCGAGGCCCTGCTGGCCCCTGGCGCCGTGCCCGGGGGTGTCACTGTCCCCACGGGTGACATTGTCATTGTC